ATGATAGATGAAATTTGGGATCACATACACGCATATACGTTTTCCAAATTTGGTCTCAAACAATTCAAAAAACTTCAAACTTCGAAAAAAGCAAAATTAACAAATCGGGCTCTTGCAAAATTTTTTACGCCACAGATAATCAATTAATTGATTTCCAATTTGGACATACGGCATACAGCTATGGGGATCAACTTCCAACTCAAACGCTTTAATAATTCAAATATTTCAAAACCAGTTATTAAAAGAAATTTTGAAAGCACCAAAATATGTTCCAAATTGATTAATACACAAAGAAACAGGCACTAGCGCAGTTAAGGATGAAATAATCGCTTTCTCACGTAAATATAAAAATCGCTTAGCTGATCACCCGAACTTGCTCGCCAGAAAACTTCAGAACAACTCTACCAGGGTCCGATTAAAAAGAAAATTTCTTCTGCAATAATCAACAATAGATAAGACTTTCGACAAATCACTGGCAATGGTCAGATGATTTGTTTTTGCCAACGCCGTTATAACATATGAAGCTAGAGAAATAATTATGTTATGCTCCAAAAATGGAAAAGGCAAATTCCTAAACCAGAGATGGCGCAGGCTCTGCTCCGGTGGAAGTTCTTCCATAGATAAAAGAAGAATGGTTCCTTCTATGCTTCGTTTAACTAGTGGGGTGTATGCATGGTGTATGGCACCGCGCCTGTTCGAGAAATACTGAATGTTTTCAAATAGATTATTATAAATATTGTAACATTATCTAATATTTATAAGAATTGTATAAACTGAATTGCAAAGTTGAAATTATTTGTTCAAAGTAATTAGAACTTTAGTCATAATTAAAAATAAAATCTGAATTATTTTCGATATAAAAAAAATTTTTTTTTGAAAAAAAAAAAAATTAAAAAAGTTGAAACGGTTGAAACAAAATTATTTTTTTCCAAAATCAATTATTTTGTTAAGACAAGCAGAAAGTTTTTTGAATCATTTAAATCGGACGCTTAGTTTTCTCAAAAACTGCCGTTTGTTGCACATTTAGCTACATATCTTTGAAATGGCTGGGCCTGCCTTTGCCAAAAACTAATAAACACTTCTTCCAATCATTATTAATTGAATGTTTTTGAATCATTTAAATCGGTTGATCCGTGCGCCCAAAAACGTGGATGAAAAAATGTATCCATACATACACACACACACACACATCATTTTTTTCTGAGGTATGCCAAAATGTTCGGAAACCTTCAAAACGTCGAGAAATGTAAAAATTTTTAATTTCGATTTTCGGCCCATTACAATAACTTACCCTACGGGAAGTTAGAAAATAGTTTTTTTTTTAAATAATAAACTTTGTCATTAATGATTATGTTATATCTTATTAATTAAATAATTATATATATTATTAATTAAATAATTATATTTTTATCGAGTTTTTTTTGCATTTATATTTTGTGAACGTGAAAAACACCCTTCCCTTATCTATGGGTTACACTTTTCACTTTCTGGTAATACATATGCATATATGACTTGACAGCAATGGTTTTTGTTATGTAACATATCATTTTATTTCGATGCAATATTGCGCTTTGATATTCCTATACATTTAATATTTTATCTATAATGAATAATGGTTTATACAGCATATTATAAGTGCAAGTTTCCATAAAACTTATGGTATTGAGGTGTCTACTTTTCAGCCATTTTCATATTTCTGTCAACCAAGTTGTCATATGTCATAAGTTGTCAACTGCAAACAGTTTTTATTAATGTTTTTTACTTGTTCGTAGTTGCATGGACTAAATGCAATGTTGATTATAAGAACAATTAGGAAATTTAGTTATTTAATGTCAAAACAATAGTAAATATTTATGTGAAAGTTGCAGTTATACATTTAAAACCAGTGACATTGCTTTAAGAACATAACCGATAATGGCTGGTATGAGCGAGTGTTTTGCAATAGGTAGTACCGTAGCATGCAAAACATGTCACGATCAAGATATAGAAGGTGTTGTGTTAGCATTTGATCAACAAACAAAAATGTTAATCCTCAAATGCCCTTCGAGCAGTGGGAGGAATAATTTAAACGATGTGTATATGGTTAACCTATCTCTTGTCAATGACGTTCAAGTTAAGCAAGAAACGAGCTGTGTTCCCGAAGTGCCCCCGTTGCTTAACCTGCAAAGGTTAAACACTCGTGTAAGGAATCAAATTGAACAAAAAAGAAGACTAGTTAATGCCCTTGCTGCAGGAGTAAGTCCGGAAGGCCAAAAATTGTTCATTGCTATTTCAAAAACTATTCATGAAGTGACTTGGTCAGGACCCAACATTGTTGTTTATAATCAAGTTACAATTAATCCACCATATAAACCAGAAAATGTCATAGGAAATTCTGAGTCTCGGGAATATATGTATGTAAAGAAAGTTGTTGAGAAGCACCATAAGGATCAAGCCTCTGTTTCATTGACGCCCGCTACCAATGCAGCCCAGCAGTAATTTAATTTGCGACATTATAATTTAATAATATTGCAATATACTATTATTTAAATATAGTATTTAGTAATATTTTATATCTACTGCAAAGTTATAATTTAATAAATCATGTTTATATTTAATATTTTATTCAATTTAATGTAGGCATTGGCATTAAAGATTTTTTCTAATCTAATTAATGCAGAAGAACAGTATTTATAAATAAATATATAAGGTAGCATCTACTTTTATTACTGTAGGCATTCTAGTTAATGACGAAAGAAAACAATATAAGGATGGCAGCAAAAGATTTTGTCATTTAACAAAATTAAAATCCATTGAATGATAACACTGTTTGGTTTTGTAGCAATAAATAAAATAATTTTTACATTATTCAAAATTGAGTTTTGCCATAAAAAAAACTCCAAACGTGAATGAGTGATTTATCTCTTTCTCAAATTAGACAACCATTTTCTTTTCGTTATTGTTGACAGCACTGTGCTACGAAGGTGGCGAAAAGCACACGCTCAGGGCCTTTTCACTCAGTGCAAAATCCTCGTTCAAAAACCGTGTTTCGTAGTATCCATCAAGGTGAGAATTTGGCGCTAGTGCGCCGATACCAAGTGACAGGTTGATAATTCTTTAGCTGTCTCTAGCATTAAGCGGCCATTTTGATCGGGATTGTTATTGTGTTTGTGACTGTTCTGTTAAAGGGTGTTGTATATAATTGTTTATAAAGTTTTAATTGTTTATAAAGTTTGTTGTTTATACAAAAAGTATGACTCTTAAATGCAGAAGAAGTGTAGTGTATATAATAGAAAGTTTAGAATTTATGTAATACATAATGTAGTGTGCTGTGTATTACGCTTGATAAAACGGAAGGTGCGATTAATTCATTAAAAGCATTATCATTATATTAAAAGCTTCAGACAAGGCCTTATGCTAGTCTAGCTTGAATGAAGATATCATAACTTATATGTAATGTGAATACTCAAGACTGTATTTTAATTCATTTTGTTATCATTAGATATCGTATTTCTGAATCATGTATTATAATTTGTTAATGACATATGACTGTATTTCACTAACATTATTGTAGTAACAAGTTAGGGTCCAATAAAAATTGTTATGATAATGTGTGATTTATATTTAAATCTGTAGTCATATTTGTTTTTTCTTCTTTTATTGATTTGATTTGACCCCAGCATATATCATAATATATACTCTTGATTGAAATATTCTTATTATTACTTAATATATTTTTAATTTATAATTATATTTTCGCAAATTTTAATACAATTACGATGCAAAATTAAAATTCTAATTATTTTTAAAATTATTTTTTTTTTATTGATAGTACAATATTTTTAAAGTACAAATATTTTCATTTCAAATTTTAGCGCTTCAATTTGAATGGCGATTGGAAGGCGATTGAAGCGCCATTGCAATATTGCGACCGTAGCAATAACTAATTTTTTTGAACCTCAATATCGCTAGAATGAAACGTCTATATTATTATATTGTCTAGGCACACGCTAATCGCAAATTTGTAGGTTATGATGGGCACGGTAACATGCAGGTGAATGAAGAAAAGAATTTGTACGATATTTTAGGCTGCCAAAATGATGCTTCGTCGGCTGAAATCAGAAAAGCATATCAAAATTTGATTTTAAAATGTCACCCAGACAAGTGCTCATCCAGCCAAACGGATACATATCTTTCTGTTACGAAGGCCTGGAAAATTTTAGGAGATCCAGTTTCCAGAAAAAAATACGATGCTGAATTATTTTCTGAACAAAGTAAAATTATTTTATATGCAACTTTGACCCGTGATGAATTGAGCTATGATGATGAGAGTGAAATATACTATTATCCATGTCGATGCGGTGGCACTTACGTTATTGATGAAATTGCTTCACTGAATGAAGATTTGTGTATTGGATGTGATGAATGCTCTTTCTCAATATTAGTTAAGAAAAGTGTATAATGAGACTGTAAAAAGCTTGCTGACTATATAAATAGTAGAAGCACAACTTCACAATTTTTATCTAGCTTTATATATATTTGAGTAATTGATATAAATTTTATTAAGAGGCTGCAAGGCTGAGGAAAGAGAAATCTCTATTATTTATAGCTTATTTAAAACAAACATAACTATAAATCAGCAATAAAACGAAATTTCATTGAATATTGAAGTATATTAGAATGATTCTATATACTAAACTATAGTAGTTTAATCCTCGTAAATATCATAAAAATTTTCATATAAAATATATTTTAGATAATTTTGTCAATAATTATAACTTATTTAATATAAATATGATTATTAATAAAATAGTATTATTATTTACATAGACTCCTCCTTTTTAATCTTATATGGTGAACATCAGTTTGTGCTCATGGCATATAAGGTCCTTATCAATAAATGTATAAATGAAAATGTATAATTGAAAGTCATTTGTAAACTTAATGATAAATTATGGCAAAGATAACATTATCAGAAGCAAATGTTTCATCCTAATTCTTGTATCACAATCAATGGAGTGGTGTTTTTTGAAATTTTATAATCTACGAAGAGCAGCTATACTTAATGAAGAACACTTAGTTTTTCGTGTTGGTTGTACAGACATTGGAGCCACCAACATTTCATTGTTTACATTATTTGGTGCACCACCTAATTCCTATAATATTTATTTTTAATTTTATCTATGTCTGGAAAACTAAAGCTTATTTATTATGAACTATACTAACATTAATATTGTTGCAACTGGCAAGCCGCATCTGAGCTAATTGAGAGGACGGAGTTAAATTATTTGTACTTCCAAAAGGCGACATCATAGTTGAAACTGCACGCTTGAATTTTGATGGTGTTTTATTAAATGAAAATGCTCTTCCAACCTGAAAATAATAATTTTTAAATAAATAAGTGCAATAAATTTTATTGAGCTTTATTATTTCAAGCACCTTTGCAGCCGATTTTCATACAACACATACAAACAAACATGCATCATTATTCAATTCTATTAAGACATTCTTCAATTTGTTTCTTTACATGCTGCAAATAATTAGTTACAAAATGTTGATCATACCGCAATAATGCTATCAATATTGTTACTTACTTTCATCCTTGTTCGTGATGCAAATTTGAAAGCTTTTGAAAGAGTGCCCAGAGAAACATCACTTGTATCAATTTCTAGTTGTTTTGAATTTAAACTTGCCATAAAACGATCCTATAATACAAAATATTATACATATATAAACTACAAATTTGGAGATAATTATATTAATGAAATCAGTGCATACTATAGTCCTTAATATTTTACTGATAAACATTTTTTTAAATTAAGCTCTTCATAAATTGTTACACCTTATACTTTGGCATAAAAAAAATAGTGAAAAAAATACAAACAAAAAAAAGATGTACAAAATTATAAGAGTACACTTATGCACAATCAGAAATTAAAATATCACTTACAGCATCAGCTTTGCAAACTGTGTTCGCCATCTGCCTGCAGAGGCTGCGTAGAAAAGTGGTTTTATCAACATCTTCTTCAGTAATTGTAAACGAATATAACTTTTCTTTAAGTTCCTGATTGCTGCGACAAGTTAAAGCAAATACTGCATGACAATCTAATAGAAATAATAGAACAACTTATTAGTGATAATGTTTAAATATTGATCAAATAAAATGTTAATTACTTTACCTTCTGTTTCATGAATGTCTATAACTCTTTTAACATGACTTAGAGGCATTAACTTCACATGTTTATAAGGTTTACCTGCTCCTAATTTTGTGGAATGCGTACTACCTGTATCAAACACATTGATTAACATATGCATTAGAACTTATCAACTGTATATTGATATCCTCATACCTATTGCATTTGGACTTTTAAGGCTATTAAAAGCTTTGGATCGTTTCTTACAAACTTCTAAAATATCAGAGAATAAATATAAAACCAGATGATCACCTCGACCACTTAAACCATCACTTAGTTCCATTACTTCACAACGTGAGATAAAGCTTCTATGTGATGATACTAAATGTGGCTAAAATACAAATATAAAATTTAATATTTCATAATTAACATAAATGATTATTGAGCATTATTTTCGGCATGGACAAAATATTATATAAAATAGTTTTGCCATAAAAAACTATACTAAAGCCCAGTGCAACGATGCTAGTATTTCTTGTAACAGGATTCCTGTCAAGTTTTCTGGTAAGGTGAGCAAGAATTTTGCACTTATTTCATTAGGTAAGCAAGATTTTCACTTATTTCATTTGTAAAATACGCCAGGAATTTTCGAGGACAAAAGTTGTTGAGAAATCAGTTTCCTACGTTACTAGGCAACGGTTTTAGACAGAAATTATGTTAAAAGGATACTGTCGTTGTGAATAGAAGGCTTAAACATAAAATCTGGCTGGCAAGATCGTAAAATATGTCAGGCAAGATCGTAAATTATGATTTATCATATCGTTGCTAGGTAACAAACTGTCCGGCATGCACTAATTAAGAAATCTAGCGTCATGTGCACCGGGCTTAATTACTAAAAAATATTTTTATAGCAAAAGATAATAATACCATTAAAAACTTACTGGGCAATTATCGATGTCATTAAAAATATCAAACATAACCATTTGTGCTTCAGTTTTTCTTTTATCTTCATTGATGTATGTCATAACTTCTTTTATACTTTCAAGAGCCTTCTCTAAGGCATTATAATCCAAATTACTCTTTGGAGTATGCTTTAAAATGTCTGAAAAATAAGAATATGTAATATTTTTGTATAATATAAATATATAAAGATCATATAGTACATAGATATATTCCAAATAAATTCCAAATTTTACAAAATTTATAAATACCATTTAATAAAAGACTAATACTGGGTAATCTCTGTACAGGCCTTATCATTAATTCTTGTAGAGATTGTCTACCACATTCTGGCCTCGTTTGACAAATTTTTAAAAATGCATGAAATCTGAAAATTAATTAGTTATAATCAATTTATTAACTTATTGATAGTTATATTAATTATTATACAAAAAATAAAAACTAATTTTCAATTAATATAAAGAATATTTTGATGGCAAATGTAGTAATAACTACATACTTAAAGATCTTAAACACTAACTGTATTGTAAATTATTTATAACATTACTTCTACATAATTTGTTAAAAAAATATTAACTTTATTTCATAGAATATTTATTTAACATTAATGAAATGTGTTTAGTTTGTATTTTATCTTACCTGGTTTTGGATTGATCACATTGCACCAGCATCTCTTTCATGTTTTCAAAGAAATTGACAAAAGGAGGATATGCTTTTACAAGATCTGGTGCATGTTTTAATATTATATTGCCTATGCTTGTATCTTCTGCCCAGTGAGACGAAGCCCATCGTAATTCTTCCAGCATTTTACGGTGTAAGTCATAAATTGGCGGAAGATTTCCAAAAATAATTTTCAATTCAGTTGCATTTAATATCGCTTCATTTGGGCTGGTCTCAAGCATTTCTTCAAGAGGACTTTTGAACATCTAGAATAATTGCAATTTATTGATATCATTTACACATATATTTTTATTTAAAATTAAATTTCACAAATGATATTAGACATAAAATCAATCCAAGTTTTAGTTAGTTTAAAATTGCTCAAAAATATAAAAAATACAGTATATAAAAATATAAAATGTATATGTCGCACATATCTAATATCAATTAAAAAGTATTTACTTAATGAGTATGCTAAAATCTTGCAGACATATAATAGTGAATTAAAAAAATTCTAATAAATTTTTAAAAATGATATATTGGCAAGATATCTTAGAGCATTTGTTTATTCTGCAATAATTTTATTGGTTATCATCCGTGAAAAGCTCTCATATTTTCCAAAGTTTGAAAACATAGAGTAAACTAAAAATTTGCAAGTTCGATGCAAATTAAAGGAAAAAAAGCTTTTAGATATTTATAAGTGCCAATGGGAACAGTCACAATGCCATTTACCACTTTTTATTACTTTTCTCATTCATGCCATTTTTTTTTTAATTTTCCATACCATACCATACCATAGATTTTCCATCACAAATAAATAAGGAGAGAATTTTAAGATTTTAATAATTATAAGATATATTTACAATATAACTAAACTACCTATTGTATAATTACATACCGTCATAATTGTATGAAGAATGCTGACATAATTAGATTCAGTTTGAACTAGTTCCAAAAAAACTTGCTGCCTTGGACTCAAGTTTTTGCGATTTATTTCTATTCCTTCTCCCTCTACAAGTTTAAATAAAATTTTATGTTTTTAAATTAAATTTAAAAATAAAATTATGTTAATTTAATTTAATAAAATAAAGTTTTTTTATTGCAAGTTAATTACCATCTAATAACTGTTTATCTGGACTAACTGTACAATCCAGAAAACTCCCTGAAACACTAAGTAATCCTGCATCACTAACAGAGGATCTCCTCTTGAGCGTAGTATCAGTTTGGGCAAGGGCTGATAGTGTCTCATGCAATCGACGTCTTTTTCTCTGGCGAGTTGAAGATGGACCACTAGCAGGTGTAGAAATTCCTGGTACATTGGCTGGAGTAGTTGTTCGGGCTGGTGTGGACAGCAGACTTTCCAAATACTAAACAATAATAAAAATATATAGAATATTTTATTTCACCAGGTGATATATTTTCGAAAAAATCAAAATTCAGAAAAAAATAAAATTGATTAACAATTTGCACAAAAAATAAAAATCACAATATTAATATAAGCATTAAAAATTTCCGTTAAAGCTTGAAATAAATAACATTAAAAATATATATAATGACTATACAAAATATTTATAAAATGATTAAAATATCATTAATGATTTTTTTATATATTATATAAAAAAAATAACTTTCCATGTTTCTTACATTTTCGAATAAGTATTCCCTTTCATCTGCTTGCTCCTCATTTTGAACTGATTTCCAGAACCATTCAGCTTTGACGATTTGCGTCTTTGATGTTGCTGTTTCGGGTGCGCTTCCAGTTGTACTTTCATCCACAACCTTTTTTTATGGGTAAAAATAATTTTATATTAAAATATATAATTGTAACATTATATATAACTTCGATAATGTATACCCCCAGAACCAAAAAAATGAGACTACCAGTAACATTAACTCAAGATCGTTTAAGAACAAAAACTTTAACGGAAAGAATATTATTAAAATATCTAACTGCAAACTAAATTAGAGCAATTATACAAGCAGTACCATTATTAGGCTGCGTGCAAAATTCAAAAGTATGTAGAGGCCAATTAAATAGTCTGGTTTAAAATAATTTCGTGAGTAAAAAAAATCTGAAAAAATTAGCAAAACTAAAATGAATTATAAACTTTGTGGAGGTGATAAGGAGAATTTACAAAACTTTTTTAATATCAAGAGATAAAAAACATTAGAATATAATTCCTAAAAGAATATAATTATGAATAGAATATATAAATTTCTGCAATTAATATTTTTCAAATACACCACTTTATATAGTTAAATAACCAATGCTTGACAGAAATATAACCAGAAGTCATAGAAATTATATTAAATTTTAATTAACTTTAATTAGGGTTCACTATCCCTCGTTTTTAACACAATTTCTGAGTACGAGGCTTTAATAACAAATGGCATTGCATTTTACATCTAATGTTTATATAATCATTATAGTTCTAATTATAAAGTGACACCAGACATGCACCAGACTTTAAAACTGATAAAATAGCCACTCTCATCCTGAATTTTGATTAAGGCAAAATATAATATAATGAAAATTTGTGTAGAACGTAAGCAATTATATATTTTTTGCTATTATTGTTATAGAAAATAGTGGCGTGACTTCATTTTTAATCCGATTTATACTATCAGTTTTAATTCAAAAACACTGGTATTGATACTAAACTTTTGAATTATTATATTTTTTTTACTGTAATATTATAAAAACTATGACTTCCAGTAAGACTTAACATTTTGGAGAAGAGATACCTTAAAACCTTTTTTAAACTAGATATTTTTAGATACACTTCTAAAATTCTAAAATATATCTGGTTATAAAAAAAAATAATCCCGATTTAGTCAGGTGTTTTTATAAAAAATGAAATATCAATCAATAATAGATTCTGTATATACTGTCACCACAAACACAGTTCATTTAAATATATAAATGATATGATAAGAAAGACAGATTAGATAGATAAGGCAAAAGCTTTTGAACGATTCATTCATAAGTACTAAAAACCACTCAAATATCTGATTGAGCAAACTTAATCTAAGAATGAAAATTTAATATTATAATAATTACATATATTTGATAAAAATAAATGTCAATATTGAATCCGAAAATTCATTTTTATGATTATTAAACTAGTATTCAAAATTATATCTAGTTTTTGTTGCACGCAAGATGCAAAAATGCGTATATGATTAATTTAAAAAAAATCTTTTGTAAGTCAAGTAATTGTTGCACGCAAGATGCTAAAATGCGTATATGATTAATTTAAAAAAATCTTTTGTAAGTCAAGTAATGTGACTGCTGCTCTATCAGATTGACACTGTGTATATGTGTGTATCTTGTGTATTTGCATATATGTATATAAGTTTGCAATAGTAAAACTAACATAAAACATCTGAAAAAATCGTTCATGAATGCATTATTAATTAGCAAAATAATAACAGCAATGCTCAAATTATCGAATAATTTGAGTAAAACTGTTCAATAAATTATTGTGAGTGCGTGTTAGTACCGAGAATTTTAATGCTCTTTTGACATCCTCGGCAAGTTTGAACAACTCGGCATGCGGCGTTGAAGTCTTCATGTTATGATCAATGATCAAAGTCAAAGTCACCTCACCACCCGCATTATCTAAAGGAATTTGGGAAGAAGGATCCACTTCTTTATTTTGAGGCGAAGGAGATGGGGGTTGATAGGCTTCAGGAGTGCAACACAACGAACGCCTGCGAACGGGCGTTTTATATGAAGAATTTCCGCCAATGCTTCTCAATTCAGCAACACTGTCGCAGCTTTCATTCTGGTAGTCAGTATCATCTTTAGCTACTGAATCGGATGTGCTGACAACAGTTTCTGTCTGTTTCTTGTTCATTAACTTCATTTTCAACTTATTCCAATCGGATTTTTTGCTTGCAGAATTTATTTCCTCAACTCTGGATTCATTCATTGCACTTTCTTCCTCATCGGATATCTTTTTCGTTGTCTTCTTACTTTTCAGCATATTTGCCAAAGGAGTTCGCATTGCAACAAAACTCAGGCTACGTTTTAATGATGGTCTGGATTGTAATTTAGGTTTTTTAGCAGAATAAAATTTTGGTGGTGACATTTTGGAAGTTTTTAACTCCTCTGCTTCTGGACTGTCGCGAGGTCTTTTTCTTGTTGGCGAAACAATAACACTTCTAGTACTTCGATCCGTATCAATTTCCTTCTCTTCCTCCATAATTGAAAAATCAGCACAATTTTTCCTCATGTCATCATCAATTTGTAAATCATCGAAATGAAGGCACTCGCTTGATGATAAACGTTTTCGTGGCGTGCAGTGACTTAGCACAGGTGTACTTTCCATATTATTAAGGTACAGAGATTTTTTATCGCTCCGGCCTGATCCCATTGGAGTTACTTTGTTAGGAAAATGGGTATAGGAAGATTGATCAGGAGTTTTTAGGCATTTTTGGGTGGCGGATTGTGATGTGATGTTGAAACGCGAACGAGAACTAGAGAACATCTCTCCGTTAGGCATTACCTGAAATTATTTTTTTAAGCAATTTGAACGCTGTATAGATTAGTGTAAAATGCAAATTAATTATTACAACTAAAATTTATTTCTGCATTCAATGTAATACTATATATGTTATGTTGATAGAAGCATAAGTACTAACGCACATGGAAAAATTAATTTTTCACACCATGCCATAAACTTTTTGTTATTTCATAAATTAAATTTGTTCACTTTTCAAATAAATAAAGCATTAAACTTACTGTTCTCCAGTTTTTCTACATCACAACACCGGATTAGTAAAATAAAAATGTGTTATAAAAAGAGGCATCAGTTTTTCAAAATGTGTTTTACACTATATAAAGGTTGAGAAAAACACCAAGCATGCGTTAAATAGTAAGAAAATTGTTGTTAATTGTGAGATATTATTATTTAAGTGCTATAGTGAGAATCAAAATAAGAGCGCAGAAGACATGTGAAAATGAAGAAAAATATTGCAATATTATGACACCAGATATATCTACAAAAACCAAATTAGAAATAAAATTAAATAAATACAAAAATGTATTCTCACGGTTTCATCTACTAGCAGAATTTAATAATATATTTATATTTAAACAAAAAAACACCAAGGGCAATATAAATATATTGATAAACTTGTAAATATTTTACTTACCACATGCGTGCATGAAGGATCTTCCAATTCTACAAGGACACCTCCATTCTCAACTAAAATCTCCGACATATGTTGTTGCTCATCAGC